CTCAGTTGTGATAGGTCGACGTTTGGGAAAAGCTCCTCAGCCCTATCCAGCACCGCAGCATAGGCAAAGTTCTTTCAGTACAACCTGAAAAGCTAATACTCCTCGACGAGGTGGAAGTTGGCAATGTAATCCTTAACTGCCTCCTCCCTTGCCATCTAGGCCTCCTCCCTTGCCCTCTTTAGCTCATCAACATGCCATTTTATTTGGCCTTCCAAAAACTTGTACGCATCCTTGGCCTCGATCAGGTCTAAATTGGTCTGCTTCAGGGCTTCAGCTATCACCTTCTGATGATTATTAGAAATCTCCACCTTTTTAGTGAGGGAGGCCACCTCACACTAGGATTCATACACCTCTTTCTTCAAAACCTTGATTTGGGCCAAGGCGGATTCCAACTTGGCCGTCTCTTCAATCTTTTGGGCCTTCATCTCCTCCGCCTCAGCCCTTATTTTCTTTAATTCCTCCTCAGTGGAGGCTAACTTGTCCCTGGAGGACTTATTCCTCGTTTGAAAGTCGATGAGTGTTTCTCTGCACTCAAGTGAGAGCCCAAAGTCCTCATACTTTGGCCCACCAAGGCCCTGGTGAGGTCCACCGCATCGCAGCTTGAGGCGTGCATCGACCACTTGTCAGTCCAGAACATGTAAAAACTCTCTGTAGCGCCTCGGACCTCAATGGGCAGCACATCCAACAAAATCAGTGCCAACACCTCATCACACCCCGCAAGAAAATTGGGGGACTTTCCTTTAAGTCCTGGTTGGCCTCTGCTTGGCCGCCTCCTCCTCTGTTTCCTCTGCTGCCCTCCTGGAAGCCTCCTCCCTGGCCTCCTCAGCCTTAGCTTTCCTTAGCATTTCAACTTTCACTACCTTCATGGCAGAGTCTAACAGCTTTGGCTAAGGAGGAGTATCCTTGCTTGAATGGGACACTGATGTCCCCAACTTCCCGGAAGAGCTGGTGACGTGAAACAGCCTCCTCTTCGTGTGAGAGTCCTCGGGGACTCTCTGGACCCCCTAGAGCTGCTATCCTTGGACAGCCCTCCAACTGGCCCCTGACCTCTTTCACCGCACCGAAGCTTGGCTTCAGAGGCCTCACCCCCGCTGTCGAGGTTGCCCTCAAAATTAAGGCCATGTCTGGGACGGGGTACTCCATTCTCTTGAATTTATCTGCAAACACAATAGGTCAGCACTGAATATCAATCATGTATGAATTTGATCAAGTGGACACGTTTTTTACCCTTGGAAGCCATCAGTTCAAAATCTACGAAGTATCGGCTTCGGTCAATGAGATAGTCAAAGTGGCGAAGCTTCAAAGGCCGCTTATATATGTCTTCTATGACCTCGAACTCCCTCTTGCTAAGCTCAAACCTTGTACTTGAATCTGCAAAATAAGTGGCAACAGTTAGCAAAAAATTGAGAAGCTTAGCAAAATGTAAACATCTCAAGCTTGGACACTCACAAGCTTCGTAGTACTGGGTCGGTACTGTGCAAGCCACGGTCTTGTCCCCCTCAACTACCTGCCACTATCCTCGAACCTAGAACCATGACTCCTTCCATCCCTTGATAGAATAAGGCAGCCCCACTATGAAGGGTGCGTGAGCCCCCAAGTGTGTGATATAATACCACCCATTCGACCCCACTACAAGTAGATATTGCTCGATTCCACTAAGAAAGTTCTCAAGAACAGTACAAATGTATGAAGGAAACTCAAGTCCCTTCAATTTTTCTCTCGCCTCTCTTTCAAAATATAACAACAATGAACTCACAATCTATTCTCTCAAAGATTGCTCACAACTACAATCTTTTAATCTTCACACAGAGATTTTTAGAGAAAAGAACATAAAGAATACAGATTGAAGAAAACCCTCAAAAAGGAAGAACCCTAGACGCTTCAAGAGAAAATTACAACTCAATCGTCATGGAGTGAAAGAGAGGCAGCTATATATATTTCATCAAAAAATCACACTAATTCAACGGCTGAGGATAAGTCAGATGAATGGTCCAAGATTTAATCAGAAACAAGAAGTCATAATCGTGTTAACCAAAAGCACGTTTTTATCTTGGGTCCTTAAAAAAATTGGGTTAACTTTGAGGCCCAAATTGGGTTAACTCCTACGCAGACACCTTCACCTAGTCCTTCTATCACAGCTCCTACACACAATAAGGTGAAAGAACATATACAGAGAGACATGGATGGCATGGGCCTTGGAAACTGCATGCAAAATGCGGAAGACGATGTCCCTACAGCAAGCAGGTCAATCTCCCACGATTCAGATGTCGTAGCACAGAACACCATGAGATTAGACACACCTACGACTAGTACAATGAGATCAGATGCACCCGCTTTTCGCCCGACATTCAGTGCACCACCATCTGAACAGTACTTATCAACAAAGCGGGCTCCTACACGCAGGCGAGACCCCTCTCCAACGAGCGAGCCAGACATCGCAGACTACTATGATCCAGAAATGTTTCAAACCAGACGCATGACTCGATCAATGTCTATGTACTACCACCCGAAGATTTACCCTCGGGAATACCCTTGAGTACCTATCATTAGTTTTTGTTCGTGTCTTGTTTACTGTGATTGCATTTTATCTTCAAATATTTGTTACAATTTACATTTTCTGGAGGTCAGGTCCATGCCCCCCTCCTCTATTTGTTTTCCCGCTTTTCATTATATAAAATAAACCACACTAGTGGTATTTGCTTAAAAAAAAACCTTAAAAATATCAGGTTAACTTTGAGGCCCAAATGAACGTCCAACCCATCAACATTCGCTGGAGTGCAATTAATAATGAAGCACCAGCCCATGTCTGACATAAAAAAATGGCCATCATGAAGATTGAAGTGCTACTCGTTACAGTACCAAGGAATCCTTAATAGATTTTGTAAACCCAATAAAACTAGTTCCTCAATCCCTTTTCCTCATTGAAGCTTCTGATTTGGCCGTTAATAGAGCAATTTCCCATCTTGGAACTCAACATTTCTTCCAGTCCTTCACTCCCTTATCACTTTTAAAGGATTTCCAGTCTTTATGTACATATCGAATAACTGGCCGCCTTGAAGAGTTCAGACATCCTCCAAAAGATCCTCGTCTATGATTAATGATTGATCCACAATGTTTATTACCAGTTCTTTATCGTATATATTCATCTGAAGGAGTGCGCTTTGTAACCAATCAAGATTGGCTTCACTAAAGGCACTTATTCCCAATTTGCCTGTTATCAACTCTAGCAAAACCTTCCCAAAGCAATAAACATCGTCTGTGCAAGTCTTATTACCTGTACCTGGCAAATTTCAACAAGGTTACATGGATGATAACATTCCAAGATAAAGAATGGAGTTGCAGTAAATTCCTAAAAATCAGTCATCTATTTGTAAGCTTCCGATCCTCCTGTAGATCTACAGATGAGCTAAAAGAACCAACAGTCAAGTAATTTAGAAGACTTTAGCAAGAACTGAGTTATCTTACGTTAACAAGAAACATTGAAATAAAAGGATGAAAAAAAAAGAAACCCCAAAATAGAATTTAAAATGCTAGAAATCATAAACTAAAGATAAATGAGACATTGATACTTGAAAAAGTAAGAAAAAAATGTATTACTTTTGTGTAGTAATACAATTTGAATAGTCGGGTACACAGACAAAGAAATGATTGTATACTGAACTACAATAGAAAATTTGTACATACCAATAGGAATGCCTCTTCCTTGAGCACCAACCTGACTTAGGCTCCCTAGCTGCACTTCAAAATTGACATCAAGCAGCCCCCAAGGCACATCTCCAAGTGGTAAAAGGGGAGAGTGGAGAAATCCAGCTTTACTTGAGGCTGCTGCATCAAGGTTTCGAATCCTGAATTATGGATTTGGCTCTTGGGTAAGTGCAAGTGTACAAGCAGCCTTCCACCATGTACCCTTGGAGGCATAACCTGCGATTTACCTCCCTCACGATACTCCAGGACAGGGGTGGTGGGGGACCCTTAAGGTTAGGGTTTAACCTTTTAAAATTGACATCAAGCAATTACATCTCCAAGAATACAGAGAAAAGGTCTCATTTATCTTTGATAGCAAATTTCAACAAGGTAAAATATTTGTGAAGATGGGAATTCCAATTATGTCGGATTTCCATAAATTTTTTAAGTTGTTCAGTCCGTTATTTGAACTTTATTTGGTGTTACATTTTTTTTTGTAAAATTGACTGTGGAGAGCAAGAAAAGTGGCGAAAGAAAAGTTTGACCTTCTTTATTTCAAAACTCATTATTTCTCACATTCATTTTCATCTATATATTCACATAATAAAATATTTTTCACGTAAATTCAAAAAGATTTCCCATTTTTTTATCACATTCTCCAAAAAATTACTATCAAAACATCATTTTCCCCCAATTTCTCTTTATAATGGTCCTCAAGCAAGGGCTTAATCATCTAGCACCACTAACACAAATGATTGTTGCAAGTTATTTGAGTCCCATTAAAATTATAATTCATTTTTCTCTATCTTTTTTATGAATCACACATTTTTCAATAAAATAATATTTATACATAAATCCAAAACTTTTCATTCTTTTTGAATCATAGATTCTTCAAAAAATTTACTATTCAAATAACTATTTTTATCAAATAATGAGACTCAAACAAGGGCATATATTCTACTAAATGTATTATTTTTGTTCTTTTTAATATTGATTATAAAAATGTTAATTGCACTTATCGATGAGACAATCCATTTTTTTATTTTGTAGTTGGCGTAGTACGTTTGTTGAGTTCTTTTCGTGCATGGTTTTCAACTTTTAAAGAAATGTAGTAGATCTTCAATTTGTTTGCTGCTCCTGATTTCATTCCATGGTATTAGTTAATGCCATGATGGTAAGTTTAGTTTTAAGGCTTGAGAATGTCATTTCAATATTTTGATTAGTTTAGTGTAAATAGCTTTATTTTCTTTAAGTAAGCTTTAATTTTAGCGATTAGTATTTAATAAATGCAATATCTATTGAGAAACATGCTGCAAGTTCGTATATTAGTTTTAGAATTACAAAATGCAAACAGCTAAAACCATCAAGTAAGAGCAGAAAAATGGCCAACATGAAGATTGAAGTGCTACTTGTTACAGTACCAAGGAATCCTTCCTAATTCACTAATTACTGACAAGATACTTGAGAGATTTTGTTACAGTACCAAGGAATCCTTTTCCTCATTGAAGCTTCTGATTTGGCCGTTAATAGAGCAAATTCCCGTCTTGGAACTCAACATTTCTTCCAGTCCTTCACTCCCTTATCACCTTTAAAGGATTTTCCAGTCTTTATTCATCTGAAGGAGTGCGCTTTGCAACCAGTCAAGATTGGCTTCACTAAAGGCACTTATTCCCAATTTGCCTGTTACCAGCTCTAGCAAAACCATCCCAAAGCAATAAACATCGTCTGTGCAAGTCTTATTACCTGTACCTAGCAAATTTCAACAAGGTTACATAGATGACAACATTCCAAGATAAAGAATGCAGTTGAAGTAAAATCCTAAAAATCAGTCATCTATTTGTAAGCTTTTGATCCTCCTGTAGATCTACAGATGAGCTAAAAGAACCAACAGTCAAGTAATTTAGAAGACTTTAGCAAGAACTGAGTTATCTTACGTTAACAAGAAAGATTGAACAAAAAGGATGAAAAAGAAGAAAACCCAAAATAGAATTTAAAATGCTAGAAATCATAAACTAAAGATAAATGATATATTGATACTTGAAAAAATAAGAAAAAATATTACTTTTGTGTAGTAATACAATTTGAGTAGTCGGGTGCACAGACAAAGAAATGATTGTATACTGAACTACAATAGAAAATTTGTACATACCAGTAGGAATGCCTTTTCCTTGAGCACCAACCTGGCTTAGGCTCCCTAGCTGCACTTCAAAATTGACACCAAGCAATTACATCTCTAAGAATACAGAGAAAAAGTCTCATTTATCTTTGATGGCAAATTTCAACAAGGTTACATAGATGATAAATAGGAGCATTCGCTATTTAAGGAGAATAAAGTAATGAGAGCACCCGTGAACAAGAGGTGGAGCTCATTCATCAAGTAGAAATGCTAAACCCTCTGCAACCCCAATCGCAATTTTCAACCTCATAATCCAATCCAGTGATGGTAGTCTATTATTATGGTTGTCAGGTTTCTTAAACAAGGAACAAGATAAATCTGCATTTGACATTTACCTGTAAACCAGAAACTTCTCATCCTCTTCATCCAAGCAATGTCCCAAAGAGGAACACATATTCGATCAGAAATCTCGATAAAGAAATCCAGCACTTACAAACACGCATCCCAGTAGATAAATCTTTTGACAACAACACGAGTCAAATCTCCAATTCCACTACTATTTTAACAGAAAACGATTCTTCAAAAGTTCCCCAGAAGATATCGCCATATTGACCGTGCTTGATTAAGTTTTCATCACTGAAATCCCAAGTCGCCTGGATAATCCGCTCTAACTAAACGAAATTCCCATATTCTAGAAATTAAGAAACAATTCGTTCAAATGGAAACTCCCAGGGCAGTCTGAGGCCGTGGAGCTGGACATCGAGTCTTCACGAGAGACAAGCCAGAGCCCTTCTCTCTTCAGTATCGCTTCGACTAGTCTCTGCCAGTTATCGTACGCTCGTCATCTTCTGATTTCCAGTTGATCAGCTTCATCCAACTCCTACGAAATTCTACATCATATTTTGAATGATCAATTTCGAAAACTGGGCTTGGATTATTGATAGTCAATGCAGAATCTGAATGTTCTATTCAGCAAACGAATTTGATAACAGGGGATGTAAAATTAGAGGGATTTTGACGAGATTTGTTAAAGATAGAAATATTGTATAGAATATTTTTCATTATGTTTTTCTTTTTAGCTTAGGATTATTTTCCTTTTACATTTATTTCCTTTTATTGTTATCATAATCCTTTAAATAAGGTTTTCTTCTTTGAAATATTTACAAGACCATTATTAATACAATCTATCTTATTCTTGACATGGTATCAGAGCTGGTTTAACTTGATCTTGGGTTAAACTTGCAAGTTTCCGTTCTCCGACGAGGCCGCTTGTCCATTCAAATATTTTTCTTTTTTTTTTTCTTGCTCCCATCCGATTTTCTCATCAAAGTTCCCACAAAATTAAGTGTCCTAAGACTTCCAAATTTTCATTCAATAATCAGTTCAAAAGGCCGAAGAAGATCAAGGCAGTAGTTATGTGTGGGAATTTAATTTCCAGGAATTTGAACCATAATTTTGCATACTTGGGAATCTCCCAGTTCTTGTATCTGCACCAGAAAAAGGCATTAAAGAGGACAACCAACCATGTCTCGTTCTTTAAACATTGCTGTGGACTTTATTTTGCAGATTATTTGCCAAGGAACTAGATTCACCTACTTCACCTGCTCCTCGTTCTGATGCTGATGAGTAAGAGACTGGACTGCAGTTTGATGGATTGGCTTGCAGCTGTGTGTGGCTGCCATTGTCTTTCAGAATTTTCAGATATATCGTATCATCTATCATCCATTTAATGGCTGTTAGAAATTGCAGTATTTTTTTTTTTGGCTGCTTCATTAAAAATAAAAAAATAATGTTTTTTTTCCCTTTTTCTTGGGAATTTAATGTTGTTTGATTTGAAAGGTCGGTACCTGAACTTTACCGGTTATCTCCTTACCCCTTTAAAAATAAAAAAGAAAAATCAAGGGTTTTCTTATGTTAAAAACAAAAAAACTTTGAAGGGTTGGTACCTTGAATTTTATCGGCACTCCCCCTGCATCTTAAACAAATTAGAGGTTTTTTTATGTAAAAAAAAAAAAAAAAAAACTTTGGAGGGTCGTCGGTACCTTGAATTTTACCGACACTCCCCTGCCTTTTAAACAAACTAGAGATTTTTTCATGTTAAAAAATAAAAATAAAAATAAAAAAACTTTAAAGGGTCGGTATCTTGAACTTTATCGGCTTTCCCCCTGCCTTTTGAAAAAAACTAGAGGTTTATTGCAAGGTCGGTACCTTGACCTTTACCGACTTTTCCCATATTTTTCTATTGTTTTAACAACTTAAAATGTTTTTGCTAAACCTAAAACATTAAAAAAAAAATGTCCATCAAATATTTTCTTCCAAGCAAACAAGAAGTCACTTATCTCCATCCACAATGACAAAAGACCTCAAGTGCTTAGAGTTCATTCTACATCAATTTGGAAGATTTGATTGGATCGATTTCTTTAAACTCCATATTCTATACCATATTGAGTTTGAGGTGAGGGTGTTAAAGATAAAAAATATTGTATAGAATATTTTCCAAAGTATTTTCCCTTTTAGTGTAGGATTATTTTCCTTTTACATTTATTTCCTTTTATTGTTATTTATAACCCTATAAATAGGGTTCTCTTCTTTGTAATATTAACAAGACCATTAATAATACAATTTACATTATTCTTAACAAGATTGTGCATGAAAAAAAAGAAAGGGGCTTTTCTTTCAAATTTTGAAAAAAAAAAAAGTTTGAATGATTAGGTAGTGGGTTTTCTTATGTTAAAAACAAAAAAAACTTTGGAAGGTCGGTACCTTGAATTTTATCAGTACTCCCCCTACCTCTCAAACAAACTAGAGGTTTTTTTATTTTAAAAAAAAAAAAAAACTTTGGAGGGTCGGTACCTTGAATTTTGCCGACACTCCCCTGCCTTTTAAACAAACTAGAGGTTTTTTCATGTTAAAAAAAAAAATAAAAAACTTTAAAGCGTCGGTATCTTGAACTTTATCGGCTCTCCCCCTGCCTTTTGAAAAAAACTAGAGGTTTATTGCAAGGTCGGTACCTTGACCTTTACCGGCTTTTCCCATATTTTTCTACTTAAAATGTTTTTGCTAAACCTCAAAAAAAAAAAAAATGTCTATCAAATATTTTCTTCCAAGCAAACAGGAAGTCACTTATCTCCATCAACAATGACAAAAGACCTCAAGTGCTTAGAGTTCATTCTACATCAATTTGGAAGATTTGTTTGGATCGATTTCTTCAAACTCCATATTATATACCATATTGAGTTTGAGGTGAGGGTGTTAAAGATAAAAATATTGTATAGAATATTTTTCAAAGTATTTTTCCTTTTAGTGTAGGATTATTTTCCTTTTACATTTATTTCCTTTTATTGTTATTCATAACCCTATAAATAGGGTTCTCTTCTTTGTAATATTAACAAGACCATTAATAATACAATTCACATTATTCTTAACAAGATTGTGCATGAAAAAAAAAGAAAGGGGCTTTTGTTTCAAATTTTGAAAAAAAGAAAAAAGAAATTTTTTTTTTTGAATGATTAGGTAGTGTTTACTATCTTTAGAAAATTAAATTCTACCAAATTATGTTACAATAACAAAATATGTAAATGGAACTAAATAAGAGAGATTGAAAAGAGTGATTTTGAAGGTTGGGAAGGAATTTGCTAGAGGGACTAGAAGTTAGAGACTAAAAAATAATAAATAAAAATAGCACAATGATGGATGTAGTCAAATCTAGACGTACAAATGCTAATTTTAAAACTATCACCATTACGCCATTGCTACTTTATTTTCACTTAACTAATGTTTTAATTTTTATGATTCTTTTTAAAATTTCCATATTGGGCCTCGCCTCAAGTTTTCTAGTTGCAATAGTCCTAGTCGAAAAGCAAAACCTCATTTTACAAAGTTGGATATGTGAATCATGTGACTATTTAACAGAAGGTTGGATGATTTTCATTGCAGGAAATTGATGGTGAAATTGTGATTAAATATTGAGGACCAATTTGTTCCTTTTTAAAAATTGTAGCCAAACTTGCTAGTAAGACAACACATTGGTGACTAATGGTACAAATTAAATAAGATCTCTTGCACATTTCGTCCCCCTACCTTTTAAGATTAGTACATCTACCCCTAACCAATTTTATTAGCACAATACATCCCAATCTTTCAATTAACGAGCATTATTACTATTGAATAATATCAACGGTGGAGGTGACAGCAATGGCGATATGGTGTGGTGTGGTGGGGGAAAAGATGAATTGAATTTTTTATTTTTTAAACTTTTTATGTGCCTCATTTTGGAAAAATTGCATTGTTGATTCTCTTTCTTCATTCATTTTTGTTATTGTACCAACCATCAAAGGTTGGGACTACATGCACAAATTAAAATTTCCATTTTTGTATCTTTTTCTTAAAATTATTTAAGACGAATAGTATATTCGTCATTTTACGTTACTTGAACGATCAGAATCAACAGAAGGACACACTTTGCTAATTAATTAAAACTTAGATTATTCTCTAATTTTATTTCTTTCAAATGGACTAGTCGAGAAGACTGATTAGCGGTATCGTACTAACTTGACACACTCCTATCAATACTCTACTCCTTTCTTTTCGCATTTTCTTTAATTTTAAAATGAGTGACATTTCATATATAGTGGAGTTTTGCTTCACGAACAGGATCGATGTGGCCTTGTTAGCTCATCATTATTCTATGATATGGTCATGTAACTTTCACCTTGGAGAATATAAAAATGAACATTAGTAGATAAAGATGATCAAGATACGAATAAATAAAATCAAATTGAGTCTCATTGCATTTCAATTTCTTTCTAGAAAAGAAAGATGGTAGATAATAAAGTCTCAATAAGATTTATATATCTTTATTCTTATTAATAATTTTTTCCTTAGTTAGAGCATCTTGAAAAAACTCTATATTTGAAAAGTATATTTTATAGTTTAGAGAGTTTCTATAAATTTCAAGAGTAAAAGATTTTGAAGTACTCCAATAGGTTCTTTATATTTAGAGTAATGCTACGTAGCCACATTGAAGTTGCAACTTCAATTTAAATGGCACTAAATGATAGGCAAATGAACTGTGAAATTAAACCTATAATATAATGCCACATTAAAGTCATCCAGATTGGGTTTGTAACCCCTACTAGGGCTACACAGCATTACTCTTATATTTAACACTTAATTTTTACTACTCCCAAAAAATATTTATTATTTTTATTTATCTTATACTTTAACTAATTTTTTTTATAGATTACTATATTATTTTCCTACATTGAAAATTGAAAATTGAAAATACTTTGATTACATTTAATTATAGAAAGTGAATTTGGCTTTCCAAGTTTGGAGGGTCGTACTCACTCTTTAAATTAAAATGTTAATTTAAAACATTTCTTGGAGTAATGATTTTAAGGATTGATTCTTTAAAACAGAGAATGTCTCATGTTTAAAGAGTCTTTTGGAAATGCTTAAGTTGCATTCTCCCTTTAGGATTTCAATACACTTTCATGTCTATCACAAAAATAATTTTGCAAGTGGACTAATAACTTTTCCTTATTTTTTAATTACAAAAAAAAAATCACTTCACAAAATCTATTTCAAAACATCTAAATTATAAGTAAAATCAATTATAGAGGAAATTAGACACACTATTTAAAAAAAAGAGAAAAAAAAGGAAGGAATTAAATTGAATTTTAATAACCGTATTAATTATGTCAATTAAAAATATGATTACATTTGGAAGTTTAGCTTATTCATTCCAAATAGAAGGGGCCTACATTTCCCAATCTAAATTAAAAGTAAAATAAATTATAGAGGAAATTAGACCACTACAAAAAAAAAGGGTGGAATTAAATTATATTATAATAACCGTATTAATTAGGTCAATTAAAAATATGATGACGTTTGGAAGTTAGCATATTCATTTTAAATAGAAGGGAGCCTACATTTCCCATTTTGATTTTTTTTTCTCTTTTAAAATTTTTAGTATTAAAAAGTTGTCGTTTGATGCGGTATTCTAAGTTACGATTATCCATTTCAAGAGATTCAAAGTCTACTAAAAAGCTTATGATATGGCCGTGAAAATTGTTATGGATGAAATTTAAATATCAAAAATTATCTTGCATAAATTATTGAGCGCAAAATAACAAAAATGATCTTTTACAATACATCCCAATTATTTATTAGCACAATACATTCCAATCTTTCAATTAATTAGCATATTACTATTGAATAATGCCAATGGTGGAGGCGACAGCAATGGTGATATGGTATGGTATGGTGTGATGTGGTGTGGTAGGGGAAGGATGAATTTAATTTTTTATTTTTCAAATTTTTTATGTGGCCCATTTTGGAAAGATTGCATTGTTGATTCTCAATCCTTTTTTTCTTTCATTTTTGTTGTTGTACCAACCATAAAAGGTTGGGACTACATGCACAATTTAGATTTTCCCTTTTTGTATCACACTTTGCTAATTAATTAAAAGATTAGGAATAGATTTTGCTAATAAAATTTGGTTTAGGATAGATTTGTTACCATTTTGAAAATTGGGAAAATAAATGTGCAAAAGACTCGATGATAACTTGCAAATTTAGAAGTTCAAGGGTGTGTGTATATGTTTCTAGTTCTTGTACATTTATAAAACACGAAGTACATATATTTCACAAATTTTGTTTCTTTCAAACGAATTAGTCAGGGGGACTGATAAGTGGTATTGTACTAACTTGCCATACTCCAATCAATACTCAACTTCTATCACTACTTTCCTTTCTCATTTTCTTTAATTTTAAAATGAATAACACGTCATATATAGTGAAGTTTTGCTTCACTAACACGGTCGATGTGACCTTGCTAGTTTAGCATTATGCTGTATAGCCATGTGACTTTTACTTTAGTGAATATAAAAATTCTTTCTAGAAAATAAAGATGTTAGATAAATTTAAACTCTCAATAAGGTTTATAAATTTTTATTCTTGTTACTTTTGAATATATTTTTTTCTTGATGAGTTGGCATTGTCCCTTTAGGATTTCCGTGCATTTTCATGTCTATCACAAAATAATTTTGAATGTGGACTAATAACTTTACACATTCCAAAAAGCCACTTTTCACAATATCTATTTCAAAATATCTAAATTAAACAGGGCCATAACATATTTTTGGACCAGATTTTTATCACACAATCTAAATTAAAAGTAAATTACAGAGGAAATTAGACATGCTACTTTAAAAAAAGAAACTAAGGATGTGTTTGATTGTAAATATGGAATTTACATGAAAAAAATAAATTTTAGAGAATTGAATTGCCTAAAAATTATTTGCATGAAAATTATCGATTAAATGTGTTTGATTGATTTTATTTTCAACCTAAAAAAATGTTATACTTGTCCATTTTTTATTAGTAGGTAGATGGAAAAGAATTGGAATAGATGAGAGATAAAGAAAGAGTGAATTACCTGAAAAATAAAATTCTACTCCCCTAAAGTTGGCAGTCTATTTTCCTTATTTTCAAATAAATATTTTATCACGTGACCAAAAGTTGGAAAACGTTTTTCATTAAAAAAATTATACATACATATATATATATATATATATATAATCAAAAAGCTTGTGACGCGGTCATGATAAATATGTTAGGGATGAAATTTAAATATCAAAAATTATCTTGCATAAATTACTAAATGCAAAATAAATCATGATTATTAAGTTCATTTGTTAAGGTAATTCTTTACTTGTTATTATGAATTCATAATGTATCGATATTTTAATTCGAAAGAAATATTTAAAAGCTTGTCGTGAATACTTCAAAATGATAATATTATCGATTTTTTCTATCGCAAGTATATGATATCGAATAAGTAATATAATCGATCTTTGAGTCCAAATTATCGTTCCTACAAGAACTAAACTTTAGCACTAAATCTAATTTATTTCTAACTACCATTTGACAAGGCAAACAAATATTCGTATGTTTTGATTTTTAATTTAAATGACTAAGAATATCTAGATGCACACAAATATTGATTCAGAAATTAAATAATAAACAATTATTAAGGTAGAACAATTTTACATATTGATCACCTTTAAATTATAAATCAAGATTCACAATCTAATGTAGTGTTTGATCGAATTCTCCTATTGTATTTCGTGGCCTGTGCGGGAGAACGTGGGTCATTTTAGAACGTTAAAAAAATTTCACGTTTTGATGTCCATTGTTGGACAAGCGGACGGGTCGGTGAACATACCGGGCACAGGCATGAACTCATTCACGTGGACGGAAACGTGAAAAGTGAAAACTTTCAAACACTAATAACATGTTGCAGCCTTTGACATTTCAAAGGCTGTTTCATGAGTGAGCACATTTGATATAAATGAGTAAGAACAGAAGGAAAAAAAGCGAAAATTGTGTGAATTTAAAACTTTTGACCGGTTGCAGCATGTACTTTTAGTCAATGTAATGTGCTGTTCGAAATGCATTTTAGAAGCAAAAATGGGGATCAAACGGGCTTAAAAGTTTGATTTTGTGTTTGACACTTAATAAAATATTTGGGGTATAATTTATAAATAAAAAATAAAAAGTTAGAAATCACAATAACAATTATTCCTTTTTAATTTTGACAATTTTCACCGTTTTGGATGGTAGGGGGTAAATCGCTTTTCAAAGATTATACAGAGAGATGTTTCGCATCTCAAAGGTTGTATTCCGCATTCAAGGTTTCAAATAGGGATGTTTTTTGCGATTTTCAATAGGTAGAGATATATCGCTCATCGTTGAGTATGTAATGGGATTTTTTTGCTATTAAACCTTTTTTTTTTCCTTCCAAATAAGTTATAAGGTTATCAAGGTGAGCCAGTCTCCTACTCGGGAAAAGGATAGAATCCCCGCTAGTTCGGGCAGGCCCTATGGGGATTAGAATAATCAGGGATAATTGTCATCCGTGACCCAAAATATCATTTTTGAATGTTATGATTCGAAACCATATTAATTGAAAGGTTATCTAGAACAGGGGCAAAGCCAAGATTTTAGTTCTATACGGGCAAAAAAATTTCGACGCTGAACGTCGAGGTTTTGGTCATGGATTTAATGACGATAAAAAAAAATAAAACAATAGTACAACAATACAAAAAACGACATAATTTATATATTACACTTGTTCCTTACGACTCAAAATTTATATGACAAAAGAATCACAAATACTGAAAGCAACTCACAAAATTCAGTGCAATTCACAATTTCACATAATCAATTCACAGTGCATTTTCACAAATTTCACATAATCAATTCACCATGCAATTCACAATTTCACAGGGTAATTATACTATTTCCAAAATCCAGTAGGCAATAGTAGAGTAAGCAACTCACAATCACAAACGTGAGACGGTCACAGGTTGAGGCAACAATGAGCTAGAACTTGAAGTGTGTGTGACTCTCACTCACTGTCTGGTACTGGCAGAATAAACAATTGAAGAGCAATTGTAGGAAGTGCCGCTTCGAGGTGCTAATTTCATATGTTAAAAATAATCATTTAAAAACCAAATATTATTACAATTTACACAAATCTAAAAACAAAAAAGAAGGAAAAAAAAAGCTTCAAAATCAGGGTCGGTGGAAAATTGGAAATTGGGGCTTTACCTTATTCTTCTGCTGGTTGCCTATTGCTGTAATTAGGAAGAATTGTCGGGTGTCAGCAGTCGATTTTGCCTCGGCCTTCAAAGTCGAAGGTTAACTGGAGGCTAGAGCGGTGTAGGCGTGGATGGTGGAGCTACCACCATGAGGAAGCAACGCCTCTTACAGACTACGGTCTACGGAGCAAGTCTGATCGATGGTTGAGTGGCTTGAGTAGGAGACGGGCACGAGTGGAGACTGGAGAACGAAAATAATTTTCCGACCAGTTGAAATTGAATGAATCGCAATTGCCAATTGATTCAATTGAATGGGTCAATGGGTTAGTTGTAAACGGGTCATGGAGTTTGATTTGGCTAACGGGTTATTGGGCTAGTAGGCTCTCTGGGCTAGACAGGGAAATGAAAGTAAACTAATAATAATAATAATAATAATAATAATAATAATAATAATAATAAATAAATAAATAAATAAAACCATTTGGGCCTAAGTTGGGCCCATAAGTTCAGTGCAGGCATATGCCCACAGTAGACTTCATTAGGCTCCGCCCCTAATCTAGAACAATCCTAAATTTTCTCATATTGAACAGAAATCCATGCGTCCATGCATAAACAAAACAACTGTAAAAGGATAATTAAGAAAACAAAATAAACCCTTGTTTGAGCTACATTATTTTCATAAAATGCATTTTTGAATAGTGCATTGATAGAAAATGTATGGTTAAAAAATAAGAAAAAATTTTAAATTTATGTGTAACATTATTTTATTTAAGAATGTGTAATTAAAATGATGTCAAATCATTACAAAAAATATGACTTTTGCCAACCAAGAAATTGGTCCCTAAAAGTCCAATATCAGTCAGTAAACCCAATTTATGACCAAAAAATGTTGGTCGGCAACTGGTAGCCAAAAGCCAACCAACGAAGGTCTTTACCGACCAAACTATACTTTAGTCGAAAAACATAGAGATTTTGACTGACCAAAAAATTGTGGTCGGTAATGACATAACTTTTTACTAACCATATATTTGGTCGGTAAAGGTCTAAAATAAGTTGGCAATAAACAAGTCATAAGTGGTGGTAGTAAACATAGGCCGACCTATTAGTTGGTTGGCAATAATATAAATTTGCTGACCACGAAATTAAGTGACATTGGTCGGGAAATAATGAATTTGCCGACAAACAAAATTCAAGGCAATAAATTTGGATTGTATTTTCTACTGTGGTTTTAGTCGGTAAATGTGACTTATTTTATTTTTTTGAACCTGTACGATAGTCAAAATTATAAGGTAGATTAAAAGGACAACTCCAACACAATATACCAATAAAATTTTCAAAATAAAAAATATCCGAAATCAAAAAACAATAGTCACAACCAAAAGCCTCTAGCAAAATATTTACGAGGCAAAATAATATATAGCATCTTTACAAGTCAATTCCAATTCCAACCATAAAAACACAGTCTAAACTATAATGGAATCCAAAATAAAAAGCCTAGCTAAGTTCCAAAATTTTGATAAGACTAGTTTCATTACATATTTCTCCTTAGTCACGGGATGGATCCAGCCTTTTGTATCCCTGTAATGTATGTTCTTCCATAGCTTAATTCACAAAAATGTATTGGAATATGAAGCTCCTATTGTAAGCAACCAAGATCAGAATGCTAGCAACTTAGATCATTAAGGATACACGTACATGTCAATGAAACATTCAATATATGGAAGAGTGACTTTCCAATCTGTAGTCGATAGAAAATGAAGTGAGTGACATTTCATTTTGATTTTTCATAAGAACCATGTAATGTAGTCATGTTTCAAAAAATTATACACTGAGAAATTAGTAGTTAGATGACATCTAACGAACATTGACAACATCTGTATTTTTCTTTCTAATAACTAAGAAGAAGAAAATAGCTGTACAAACTCAACTTTCTCACTCTTTGCTTCACTTCCTTTGAGATGTCAAAGTAATGTATTCTGATTATCTTTTCAATTTCATGGAAGCTGGGAAGAGAAAGACATTCACCAAAGTAGATACAAGGTAGACCCAGAAGTGGAAGGCAGATAAGAAAGTTCTAAACAAACTTAGGAGGCCTCCGAGTACCTTTTTTGTATTCCTGGACTTAATACAATTCCCTCTGGTCTTGGAAGTTCGAGGTCATGGCTGAGGCAATAACATTATGTTTGATTCAATAATTTATATTAAAATACTAACTTCTAATGATTTAGATATTCCTTTTTGATACTTGGTAGACTGCTACTTAACTAATATGGATGAAAGAAAGCAAGAGGGTCCGTTATATATATATACCAACTTTGATATAGACTGGCCTCTGAAAATTTCTTAATTCCTAACATGTAGAGAGAATATAACCTATTAATGTTTGTTATATTTTAATCTTTAGCATTGACATGCTTCAAACCTTTGTTTCTTCCTTCAGCAATGTTACAAAAATATGATGTTAATAAAAAAAAAGAATTAAGAACTAGCCAATAATCGTAGAAATACCTATCTTTGTTGGCACATTGACTGGTGCAGGCTGGACCATTCATAGGTCTTGGGATGGTAGCTTCTTTTCTGGTGGCAATGGAATAACCTACTGTAAGGTGATGGTATTGATCACCAAAGATAACCCAGGCTAAGTTTATACCCACTTCCAACACCACAAAGCCGACAACTACGAACCAAGACAATACCAAGCTCCACTTCCGATTGCCAATGAGATATTCCACTATTGAGACCACAAAGGTAGAAGAAATCTCATTTAATATCACCACTAAGATGGTATCCACAAAGAGGCAGAAGAGTAGAAGAGAAATCATAGAAAACCGGCCAAGAGAGAGCGAGGGGTGAGACATCTCTCACTTAGAGAGAAAAGAAACCAATTTAACCTTTTTACCAATAGCCCAAATAAGGTAAGTTTAAGTAGGTTAACTGACGGGTTAGGCCAAAGGCCCAAAAGATAGTTAAGTGGGCTCACAAGCTTTTCTCTCAATTAAATGCCATCCAAGGGAGTGGATTGGGCTACGAGCAACACTAAAGTATTTAAGTTGCTTCGAGTGGCCCAATTAACCTTTGGGTTGTATCGTTTTGAATGTGGTATTGGATTCCCGTTCAGTCATTTGGCTAAACCGACTGAAAAATTAAACCGAGTAACATCATAGCCCGAGGGAGGTCGTTTGACAACAAATTTGTCTAACAACCTCCACCTTGGTGTCAAAGGACCTGCAAAAAGAAAACGCCTTCCATTAGTGACACCTCTAATAGAAAATCGATAAAATTGGAAATCATTTACATCTACCAATGTTTAGAAGATCCTTGCAAGTTCTAAATTTTACCAGTGGCAGCACCTTTGTGCCCATATCTGAAGGATTGTATTGTGTGTGAACTTTTTCAAGTTTCACCACCTCTTGAAATACTATATCTCTAATAAAGTGTAGTCTAACATCAATGTGTTTAGTGCGTTCGTGAAAAACAGGGTTCTTACATAAATGTATGGATGACTGACTATCAAAATACACAACCACACTCATTCAAGACACATAGTTCATGAAGTAAACCTCTAAGCCATAAGGCCTCTTTAATTGCTTCACTAGTAGCAATATACTTAGATTCAGTGGTAGATAGTGCAACAATGTGTTGTAATTGTGATTTCCAACTAACACATGAATTTGATAGGGTAAACATGTAAGAGGAAGTCGATTTCCTACCATCCCTATCTCCCTCATAATCAGCATCTACAAAATCCTTCAATTTCACACCTTTCTTGTTAACACTGAACTTTAGACCTACGTCACCCATACCTTTCAAATACCTTAGTATTGACCTATCTCTTTCTATTTGACCTATCTCTTTTTATTTCCATACCTAGAATTCTCTTAGCCTTACCTAGGTCTTTCATGTCAAATTCACCACTTAGTTTTGCTTTTATGCTGTTTATCCACTTAGAAGAATAACCAATCAAAAACATGTCGTCCACATAGAGCAACAAAAATAGATAATTATTATCAGTCTCGTTATGTTGAAAATATAGGTAATGATCAAATTTATTTCTTTAGAACCCTATGGTGAGTACAAAGGAATCAAACCTCTTGTACTACTATCTATGTGATTGTTTTAAGCCATATGGGGACCTTTTCAGAAAACACGCATAATCAAGTTTTGATTTATCCTTAAAATCTTTTGGTTGATTCATGAATATTTGTTCGTCAAACTCACCTGTAAAAAAACAATTTTTACATCAAGTTATTCGAGTTCCCAGTCAAAATGCGAAACCAAAGCAAACATGGCTCTAATAGTGGTATACTTAATAACCGGTGAAAAAATCTCATTATAATCAACGCCATCCTTTTATGTGTAACCCTTAGCTACTAACCTATCTTTAAACCTTAAGGGTTCCGAACTACTAGTACCTTCTTTAATCTTAAAAACTCATTTGCAATCGACGATCGATTTGTTTTTAGGTGTAGGTACCAGTTCCCAAGTCTGATTCTTTTCTAGAGAACTCATCTCTTCTTTCATCGCCTTAAACCACTCCTTAGATTGATCACTACCTATCGTTTCTTCAAAGGTTTTTGGCTCTTTATAGCTAGTTTTTCATAACTAACATGGACACAAAAGTTAATTCAGATTCAAAACCGAACCTTCTATGTTCTCTCGTCTGTCTCCTCTCTCTATCTCTAGCTAGATTATAATTAGCTAATGAATTTTCTTCCTTAGGGTGTTCTTCTATCACTACTTTGTTACTGTTTTCCACTTCAGGTTCCTAAACTTGAATTTACACCTCATTAGAAGCAGTAGGGACAGATGTACTAAGTTTTCCTAACTCCACCTTAAACTAGTCTCTCTCTTCACCTAGTTCAGTTTCACTCTCAGATTCGGTTTCCCCTTTAATACACAGCATCTCATTCTCGTTAAACGTGACATCTCTACTTATGATAATCCTAACCCCTTTTTGGCTTCTATCCCATAACCTATAACCCTTAACACTCTCGGGGTATCCTAGAAAGACACACTTCCTAGCTTTAGATTCCAGCTTTCTCTCATTCTGATGAGAAAAAGCAGTACAGCCAAAAGTTCTAAGCATAGAGTAATCACTCAATTTACCCGACCATCTCTTATACTGAGTGTCACCATTTAATGCAGCAGGAGTTAAATTAATCAAATAACAGGCAATCATAACAGCCTCACCCCAAAACGATTTAGGGACACCAGAACTTAACATCATGCAACGTACTTTATCAAGTATAGTCCTATTTATCCTTTACACTACCCCATTTTGCTGGGGAGTGTAAGGAACGGTCTTGTGTCTAGTTATGTCATTTTCTTTACACATACTATCAAATTCCGTATTGCAGAATTCTAGGCCGTTATCTATCCTTAAAAAATTTGATTTTCTTACCAGTTTGATTTTCCACTTGTCTCTTCCAGTTATTAAAATTATGAAAAGTCTCAGATTTATCTTTCAACATATAGAGCCACACTTTCCTAATATAGTCATCGATAATAGACAGAAAATACCTATTCCCACCCGATATGGGATTACTAGCAGTATCCCACATATCAGAATACACATATTCAAGCATGCCTTTAGCTTTATGAACACTCGTGGAGAACAAAGTTTATGATGCTTACTAAGCACACAGTGATCACAAAATGACAAATCTGAAATGCACCTTTTTCATTAAGCAACTTAAATCCCTTAATGCCTACATGTGCAAGTCTATTATGTCATCTGTGTGTGTGTGATCAATCTTGACAGAAGAGTTAGAGGAGTTCAACCCTCTAATCACTTTCCCAGTAGTAATATAAATGTCGTTTTTCTTAGTTCCCTTAATGGAAACTAAAGCATCCTTAATCATTTTTAGCATACCATTTCCAATTTTACTAGTGAAGTCATCATTTTCAAATCTCCCTACTAAAATCAAATTCCTAGACAATTTAGGCATATATCTAACATCTTTTAACATGTACACAAATCCGTGTCAAATTTTATGTTTATGTTACCAATTTCAGCAATAGTATAGGCAAAGTTATCACACAGCACAACATGCCCAACGTTAGATTCGTACAAATTATAAAACCAATTCTTTTCAGACGTCACGTGGAACGATGCACCAGAATCAAGTATCCACTCATGCATGCGGGAATTAGCAGTTAGATTCAATTCAACAGTGTATGCAACTGGACTTGTAAGCATATAGACCTTATCGTTATCTATCTCAAATGTAGAAGATAACACATTTACCTCATCTCTTTCCTTAATCTTTAACTTGCCCTTTTCTTTATGGCAATTTTTTATAAAATGCCCTGTGTTTCCACAGCCATAACATTTTCGGGCCTTCGTCCTAGATTTTGATCTAGATCTACCCTTGCCCTTCTTTTTCCATCCATTGCCACTTAACTCGCCACCACTTTGATATCCATCATGACTATTTTGCCTAAATTGAGTTCTACCCACATCATATGTAACTCACCGCTCCTCTTATCGTGTTTTTCAGTTCTAATTTCCATTTCTTTGTTTCTAAGGGAGTCTATGACAATTTCAAGTGTCAACGTATCTCTACTATACTTAATGGCGTTCTTAACTTCCTTATAGAAATCAGGGATCGCATTGAGCAAAATTATAGTCTTATAAGTTTCGAACACAGCCTCATCACAATTAACTATATCCTGTACCAACTTGTTAAACACGTCTAAATTATCATCGAGATCCTTTGAAGGATCCATTTTAAAACTGAAAAAACGATCGAGCAAGTAGAGTTTATTCGGTATAGACTTGAGCAAATATAAGTTTTCTAATTTTTTCCAAAGTTCTTTAATGGTTTTCAGTTTATCCACCTTTCTTAAAACGGCGTCAGACAAATATAAAATGATTGAGGTGTAAGCAAGCTCATCGGCTTCTTGTCTTTGTTCTTTTGAAAAATCAATTGAAAAATTACCTTCAATAGCCTTTGAAACCTTTTGTTGAACTAAAATACCCTTCATTCTTTGTTGTCAAATAGAAAAGTCACCCTTTCCGTTAAAAATCTTCAAATCAAAGTTGTAAGTTGTCATCTTCACACAACAGTTAAAGAATGCACAAAACGCAATCAAACAACACAAAGTTAGTCCTAGAGTCACAGACAATATACGCCGTTCTAGATTCCCAGGGTTTCGTAAGACTCGCGGTCTTAGATCAAGGGAATGTTCGAAACAGGTAAAGTTATTGTAATTCTAATGGAATTAATAAGCATCAGAAATAACAATGCAACAGAGAATTACATCTAACCAATAATCAGTTTCACGGCAATTATATCACTAAGAATTAAATACTGATTTACTCAATCAAACAATTAAGAGCACGTAACCCTAATTTTCAACACAAGCAATGGTTGTCAAGTAATAACAACCCCCAAACCTAATGATCACCCCACACGATGATCTGCTAGTGCAAAAATGTAAAAGTTTTAGCCAATTTACCAGAGCGAACCTATCTGAGTTCGTAACGTGGAGAGATACGAATTTGTTACTTTAGGGCCACCACTATTAACCCTAAAGATTCAGCAAATATAACAATTACGATCGGCAACAAATACAGATTGAGGTTAGGGGCAAAATCGTCTAACTTTTCCTACACAACCTGAAACACTAAGCCAAACACATCAAAGCGTTCAGGAAAATGAAACAAACGAAATGACAGAAAAAATTACGTTGCAGGACCTCCCACGCACCGCCGCCATCACCACCACGCGCCACCTCACAGGGGGTGCCTCGACCTGCTGGTTATCGGTCTGAGCTCCGTTTGTCCAAATTAGGTCGGGTTTGGGAGTAATTGGAAGAATAGGGTTCGTTCAGTTTGGAGATTAGCGCCTATTTCTCTCGATTTTGAACCTTTTTGACAGAAATTGAAGTCCTAAGCTCTGATACCAGATGTAAGGTGATAGTATTAATCACCAAAGAAAACCCAAGTAAGTTTATACGGGTACTTTCAACACCACAAAGCCGACAACTACGAACCAAGACAATACCAAGTTCCACTTCCGGTTTCCAATGAGATATTCCACTATTGAGACCACAAAGGTAGAAGAAATCTCATTTAACATCACCACTAAGATGGTATCCACAAAGAGGCAGAAGAGTTGAAGAGAAATCACAGAAAACCGGCCAAGAGAGAGAGAGGTCAGACATCTCTCACTTAGAGAGAAAAGAAGCCAATTTAACCTGTTTACCAATAGCCTAAATAAGATAAGTTTAAGTAGGCTAACTAATGAGTTAGGTTAAAGGCCCAAAAGATAGTTAAGTGGGCTCACAAGCTTGTCTCTCAATTAAAGGCCATCCAAGGGAGTGGATTGGGCCACGAGCAACACTAAAGTATTTAGGTTGCTTCGAGTGGTCCAATTGACCTTTGGGTTGTATCGTCTCGAATGTGGTGTTGGATTCCGGTTCAGTCATTTGACTAGGCCACTGAAAAATTAAACCGAGTAACATCATAGCCTGAGGAGGTTGTTTGACAACAAATTTGCCTTAACACCTACAAAATATGTAAAATAATAGTGAAGACGGAAAATATCATAATGCATAACAAAGAGTCTTATAATGATCATGAAAAGAAACTATGGATTACTATATGGAAGTGACGTCAATCGCTATCACCATCGAAAATGAATTCTAACTCCGTATCAGATATTTCGGAATCTTTCTCATCATCCTTGTCATCAACTTCAAACTAGAAGTCCTCTTCCATGTCAAATACATCGATGTTTTCCTCATCTACTTGTTCAAGCGGAACATCAATACAAGCATAGAGTCTACTGTCCAAATCATCATCTTCAATCAAAAGTCGAACATCCATAGATGAGCTATCTTGTTGAACAACACTAGAATTGTCAATTTCTTCATCATCATTATTACACTCATCAGCACTCTCAACTAAATCCCATATATGACGAGGAGTGGCCTTTTGTACGACTTTCCAGTTGGCTCCTTGTTTCAAGTCATCCATATAGAACACTTGAACGGGTTGTGTTGAAAAAATGAAAGGATCTTCCTTGTACCAAGTTCGGGCAACATTAATTGATATAAAATTTGGTTCTTCTATAATATACATTAGATCTTCTTTTATTTTCATTCTTTTAGCCTCTCTAGTAGTACCTCACAATTAGTTGCCAGTAAGACCATTTGATTGGCCTAAACAGTTATAATTTATTAACATTTTTCTTCTTGCAATATTTTTCACATTTAGAATTAATGATCAATAAGAGTTGAAAAAGAAAACGAAATCCTACAGAATCTATTATTGGGATAGAAGAGCTGCAGAGATGACATTCAATATGAACTTTGATGATGAAGTTGAAAAGATGGCATATGGATAGTGAAAAATTGAATTAAATTTTACAACCTTACTTATGTCTCCTTCCCCTTGACTGAGCCAAAACAAAATAGCCAAAGAAGTGTTACAAATCAACAAAAAAGATCTTTCTCGGTAACTCTGAAATTTTATATCCAATACATATAACACATTTGTTGAATTGTCACCTACATTATTCTGTTCCACACGTGATGACAACTAATAGACAAGATCAGAATGCTCTGGTTTTGACTAATGAGTGAGAGCAGAGAATTTAAACCTAAACTTCAAAACTAAATTGAGCAAAGGAATCTTTGATTGTCTGTACATTGCTAATTTTCGTACTCAACTGACTCCAAAGGTTGAAAAGATTATATATAAACACATCTATGATTGTAAAAATTTTGCCTTAAACAAAAGGGCACAGCACTGCAATAAATTAAAGCAGCTTAAAAGGGATAATTCCTCACAATTCGATCACCTACCCAACTTAACCCAAAGAAGAAGCACGAAGGGAAACTTAGCCATTTAGAATAGAATTCAATGAGGATGAAATTCAACATAATACGATACAGTGAGGTTAATGTTTAAACAACATAATAATGCTAGGGAATATACCTATTCACACAACTAATCATCTCAGTTGTTATTCCAAATAAAAAACCTAACCACAAACAAATGGGTTCAAATTGTACATAGAAGGCAACAGAAATTAATGATAGTTTCCAAACACATACCTATTAAACAAAGATAACCACAATTAGTGATATGAAAGATAGAACCGACAGTCTACTGAAAGAAAAAAATCGGGGATGAATGAACAATTATAGGTAAATCAAGTGAACAAGTCACAGAAAAATTTACCCCAATAGATGAAACTTTTCATAGTAAAAACTCAAAAGAAAAGACTTAGAGAATAGAGTTGAGGAAAACCTATGACCTGAAACCCGCGAGTGTTGGAGTATCCCGAGCTCGTGTGAGGTAATGAGAGGGAAAGTGGAAGTTTTTAGAGGATAGTGAAATTAAAAGCGGGAATTGAAATATTACGAGGGTGTTCTCTTTGTATTTCAGTTTTGTGTTTTGAGTTTTGAATTTATTTTGAATTTTGTATTTTAAGTGTTTGTTTTGAAATTGTTGAAAATGCGTTCTTTTTGTTAGTTTCTCAAAACAAAAAAAAATAATTTTTTTTTTAAATTTTGAGAATCACCACAACCCCACCTCAAAACACCAAAAAAAAAAAATAATAATTTTTATTTGTTTTTTTTGAAATTTTGAGAATCACCACACTATCTCCTCAAAACAAAATTTTTTTAATTTTTAATTTTTTTTGAAATTTTGAGAATCACCACACCACCTCCTCAAAAAAAAAAAAAAAAAAAAAAGGGAAGTGTTTCCCGCGTTTTCAATTTTTTCAAGTTTTACACTGAAAACGCCCAAAACGACAAAAAAGTCGTTTTGTGTTTTCTTCACAAATTTTTTTTCGTTTTCGAAAACGTTTTCGAAAATTCGTTTTCGAAAATGGGAAAGAGAACATGTTTTCACCGTTTTGAAAAATCGAAAACAGAAAACGACCCGAAAACGGTAAAGAGAACAGGGCCTAAGGTTGGGGGAATTGAAATTAAGCCCCTTCCCATTATTTTTTCGTTAAAATGAAAAATATGACCGTTATTCATCACATCAAACTATCAAATTTAAATTTCTATATTATATATGGGACTCGTAATGATTATATTTTTTATTCTCATTTTCACAAAAATGGAAAATAAACGGGGGCTAAATCCCTGTTCGGCAATTAGTTAAAAAAAATGTATTTAATTTTTTTATTTCAAAATTTATTAAATTACAAATAAAAATACTTAATTAATTGAAATAATTTATATAGGAATATTGATATTGAATTATTTTAAGTTATTAATTGCGTAGTAGAAATAAATAATTATTAAGGATGGACACTTTTTCCCAAAATTGGTGGAATCGGAAATGAACCAAATAGAATTGATTGGTTCGAATCCAATTCTTCTACTTGAATTGATCGGTTCGAATTGGAAAGGAACCAAATAGAATGATGGGTCGACTTTGGGACCATACATTGAGAAACCCATCGATTTTGGTCCGATTCTCAATTTTGCCTTGAGAAGCATTAGTGAATTTAGTTCTTCCGATTTTCTCTTTCTACTTACATCAAGATACACTAGATCTTTGAACAATAGACCCCACGATTATGTCACGTTGTTTGCAAAGTGACCAACCATCAAAAATAAAAATCCTTAATAATTACTAAAGATAATCTAATTATTGTTATATGAATTTTCTTAAGAATTGTTTTTCAATCAAAGTTTTAGCGCTTATGCTGCGTTTAATAGAAAATTATGTAAAATTAAAGTTATTAATTATAGCATAACTAAATTTTATTGGATTAATCAATTTATGATGCTAAATCTAAACAATTGCTTAATTCATCCTAATCTATATAGATGAAATCTTGAGAAAAAATTTTATGGAGAAAATGAAGACTAGAATGATAGCACATCTCAATCATGATATTGGTTTACTCTAGCAGTGTGTTCGAAATGTTCTAAACAAGAAACAATCGTTGATTCTATAGCAAAATCCTTTTACATCATTTTTTAGAAGCAACAAAGGTTGTGGTCTAGATCAAGAAGTTCATCGATAAACTTGGAGTAGTTCCTAACATTGTTGATCACATGCCTATGCATTATGATAACAATGGAGTCATCGTGCAAGCGAAGGAACTAAAGTCTAATCAATGATCCAAACATATGCTATGGCGGTATCATCTCATTTGAAAGATAATGCAATGAAATGACTTAAAGAAAAAACCAATTCCCACAAACTATTAAATTGTAGATCTATTGACAATGAGTTGTCACAACATAAACATGATTTTCATGTAAGACTCTTATGATAGTAGGTACATAAATGATTGAATCCAGTGCAAGTGGTAGTTTGTAGGTATTATGCCCTAAATCCAATCAAATTTGGACATAAACATTTTTAATATATAATTGATACATTTCATTTATGGCAAACCTATTATTTAATTTAATTAGTATTCTAAAAAATTAAATGATAGAATCCGTAAATTCAAGTCTCAATAATTTGCTAATTACAATAAATTATGATTGTGAAATACAAATTACATATGACTAAATCTTAAATGATTCGCAGTCGAAAGTAATATCGAAATACAAATATCGTTATTGTGGATAGAGTATCATGTGTGACATTTATTACTTGTGAAGTAAGTAACTAATCTCACAAATTAAAATGTAGTGATACTTAAATGAACATGTGAATATTTCATCAAAGGTATAATTTTTTATAACACTTTCTCTCTGAGTACAAAGAAGATCTTCCGTGGAAATTGAAAAATTTGTTTAAATTTTGCTGTGCATATTAAGTAAATTCCCAACAATAAATTCCAAGGTAGTTGAACAGCTAATTTGAAAAGGTTTTCCAATTCTTAGATCCAAAGTTCAACTGGGGTGCTTGCTTCCGCATAGGTACATATATATCTTTATGACCATAAGATTGTTCAAATTCCTTTTAAAATTCTCTCTATTCCCAATTTTTCTAAAAATTCTTCTTAATCACCTCATGAATATGATCATTCTTCCAATACCATACTTTTGACATTTTTAAATAGTTTTTCCCAATTTTACTCGATTAGTGCAACAAGTATGAAGTATATGATAAATTTGAGAAATATAAAAACAGTTTAGATTTTTTTGAGATAAATACTATTATTCACAAATTTCATATTTCGCTTCATTTATTTGAAATTTTAAATTTTTAGAACATAGAAATGGAATTTATATTCATTTTTACGTAGTAAAATATTATTGTCAATAATGTATATATATGTACTCGAACACACTTTCGGACATAGCCACATATTTTTCAACCAAAAACCCAAGTATATCCGCACGCCCACCAAAACTTTTGGCCCAAAATTTGATATTTACCTAGCGATTTCATCTAGTCGAATATTATGCATCGACTAGTATTTACTTTGGTGGGTAAATCTATTGGTCCCATCTAATATTTTTGGCCCAAAATAAGTATTTTACCGACCAGCTTCATTTGGTCGGCAATTGTTTATATCCAAAGCCGACTAATAATTTTATTGGTCGGTAAATATTAAGGCGCTCAAATTCTCTCACCACGGCCAAAAAAAAAAGGACATTCACCAACCTTTTTATCGTTGTCGGCATATGTGTTTCATC